AACTAAAGAGAAAAAGAGCATTCAGTTGGCAGGAGCTGGAATATTTCTACCTGTCTTTGAGCAGAAAAAAGTGCAAAGTCAACCCAAACACGTCATAATTAATATTTGTAAGATTTCACGAAAATAAATAAAGTAAAACTTTTTCGTAAGCCCTCGTTTCTTCCAGGTCTGCTTCATGTTGTCCTCCATTCTCTTTCGCAATCCTTGGTGCAACAGAAAGGTTATAGACATGAGGGATCTCAGGCTTCAAAATTTATTCTGAAGGTAAACAAAAAATTAGAATCCCACTTGAAAAACTCAAAAATTTTGGGGACTATATCTGAGATTAACAGCAGTTATTCCCTAAGGACAGAAAATGAGCAAACTGGCGCTCTTTTCTATATTAAAAACATCCTCACATTACTACTGAGTATTATTTCCCTCCGTACCCGCAGGAGGAGAGTCATGAGCTAGAGCTGTGAGGGTGCCGGAATGAGGAGGAGGGCTACAATTACTCTCAATGGCTTAGTTACATTCACTGCACCAACTTACGAAAAATATCAATCAGTTTTTCATTTGAGGCCATTTGAGGCTTTCATTACTCGTTTTTTACCAGCCCACTTCCACCTTCTTGGTGGTAGGAAGAAAGAGTATTGATCTCAGTGCGGTGTCACCCTTTATGAACTGTTTGTACTTTCCTCAAGAAACACATAACACCTACAGACATGATAGTAGCACGATTGTAGAGCAAAGACGCTCTTCTTAATTAAAGCAATGAACTTTCTTCAGGTTATTTCAATGCATTATTTTGAGCACTCTTTTTTGCGAGTTTTCATTCTATCTAGATTAGTGCCGGCTTACTTGTTTATGATGCTATGTACGCTACTTCTGTAATTTTGTAACGCCTGTCTTTATGCTTGACATTTCATACCCTATGTTCTCCCTGTTCATTTGGTTGAATAAAAGAATCTGCATCTGAATCAGATTCAACATCTTTGGCTAGACACCAAATACCAACAGCCCGATAAAAGTGAAACAGAAGAAATTTTAGACATCCATTTAAATATGCCTTGGAGAAATGTTAAAAAAAGTTTGGCACAAGATAAATTCAAAATGAGGTTATGTAGATAAGTTTGTGGATGAGACTTTTAACGTTTGCGTTCTTCCGCGTTTACGCATAGATTGAGATGTCTGTATGACACTATATTGACAAATCTATAATTTGCAATGACGAACCAGAACAAAAACACAATAACAACAGCAGTTTCTTACCTCCGCGAAGTCAGAAACAACCACACGCCTGACGAAACGAACCCTTTAGGATTTACGCAGCAAACAACCAGTGTTGCCTGTTGCCCGTAGTAGTCTCGTTGCAGGGTATGTGCGCCCACATATTGACGAGAGCAGGGGGCGAGCAGGGGGTATCGGCGCTCAGGCGCTGGTAGGCCACTATCTGCACACAGACACTTGGCGGGAAGGCCTACCCGATGCGCCGCATCATTGTCATTCGGAATCGTTTGTACTGGGACGGTGAACCTTGCGGTGAGTTGTGGCTGAGGGTGCCAGGAGGGTAGGCAATCAGTACACAATTTTTCCCTTAGGTTTGGGGCCATGCGTTCAAGCCCTGCCGCCGGCGCTTTTTTTTTTTTCTCTATGGTCGCCCGGTTAGAATGCTACAAGCAGAAAAAGCTTCCATCCAACTCATGGGGGTTCGAGTCCCACCGGTAGCTGGGTCAAGCGATTTCTTCCTCTTTTGCTCACCCAACAAAAAAACCCACGGGGGCAGGGCTTGAACCCATAACCCGGGAGACCCCGCCCCGACTCCTTTACGCACTCGGCTGAGAGACCGCACACGTCGCACACCGTCTAGAACACAGGCTGACGACGCGGCGTCGGAAAATAAGAAAGAGAGAGAAAAAAGGCGGGCCGGCCGGATCCCAGGTGGGACTCGAACACCAGCGCGGGTTGCCGAATGGTCGAGCTTCTCGTACAATGCGTAAAAATTCAAACATAAAAAGGAATAATGTGACGGCGCGTCGAGTATTAGAACCCCCGATTCACAGTTCAAACATTGCAGCGATATCAAAGAGCCAGGAGGCCGGTCTCGAAACGTCAGGTGAGAGGGTGTCGTGATGGAACCGGTTCTTCTCCCGCTCAAGCTACTGCGCTGACTCGTGCCTTGAGCCTAGCTCGCCCAACCACTCACATTGTGGCGTCGTAGCCGCGCCGGTAGAGAGTCGGCCCCGTGCGCCACAAGTCAGGGGTTCGAATCTCCGATCCCAGCTACATTTTTCTGAACCGGTCGAACTCTTGGAGTTGAACTTAAACCCGTCATTTCAACGGGGCACCTTCGTGGATGAACGAACGGTCTGGTGGTTAACGCTGTCCCACTGGACCGGGGGTGACGATGACTCGGCACTGGGGTCCCATTAGGGGCAAAGGTTCGACCCCCGGCGAAAGCGTGCCGGGTAAGATCCATCCCAGCCACAGCGGGAGTGGTAACCCGTGTGGAATTGATAAGTCCTTAGAATCTGGCTCATTGAAGGGATTCCACGACTCGGAAGCTTTCCGCTCGGATCGCATCTGGGTGCAGTACAGGCTAACCACCGTACGCCCGTCTCCTCTCTTTCTAACTCCCTCCGCCCTACCCCCCATTCCCGGTCAAGCGGACTGGTGGGAACCTAGTCGATGGCTGTAAACTCCGGTGTGAGCGAGATAGTCAAGAAACCCGGCCCTCAACTGGGTGCCTGAAAACACCGGATCCCATACCGAACTCCGAAGTTAAACAGGCGGGTCCCCGTGTCAAAGCGGGGTGGGTAGGGCCCACATTTTTTTCAGTTTTGATAATTTTGCAAGTAAAATGAATACGGCTCTAACTGCCGGTTGCTCGGGGGCGATTAACGTCAAAAGCTTAGTGCCACACTGCCGCACTGCCCGTAAGGCGCTCCGGCCACCCCTGGGGTAGGCGAACCCGCCAGTCGTCGTGGTTATGCTGTACCGCACGCAGGCGTGCGTGTTGCCTACCTGCAATGTCCGTTAGGCGCTACGCCCCCCTGGGGTAGGAAAACCAAACCTGCGGTAAAGTATAACTGCAGGAGCCACGTTTTCCCAAATTTCAGCATATCGACGAGGTCGGAGAAAAATTGGTCGGACAACACTTTCTTGGATTTGGGAAAAATCGCCAGGTCGGAGAAAAGTGGGTCGGACAATCTAAATACACTCTCGAGCCGGAAGGCTCGAGGGAGCACCCCACATGTCCTCGCAAGCATCGCAAGACCGCGGGGTGGTCCACGTCAGAACCCCCTCGACCGCCTCACCGCTGAGCGTCCCGCTGCACTCTTAACTAAATAAGATATAGACGCCTGTTTAAAACTATTACCGCGTTTGTAAATTCACAAGATGCACTTTCGGAAATCAAAATCATAGGAAACGCCATAACTTGACGCATACTGTTTTTGTACAATGCTGGGCTGCTGCTGTGCACGCGTCGTGTCGCACGAGCTCGTTCGGACAATGGGGCCCCCTATCGGGATCGGGGACTGGACAAATGCACCGGCACGCTAGTTGCAATATCTTTATCCCGCCGCCGACTTGCGCTGCTTGCGCGTGTCATTCTACTCGGCATGGTGGACTGGCTCCGATGCCGTTCCCTGACACGTCCACTCTGTAATGGAATCGTATCCGCTGTGTGTGTTTTGGGTCGCTGGGGTCGTTCTAGTTGCCGGGGCGCCATTCGCGGTGAGTTTCATCCGCGATGTTTATCCGCACTCTTGATCGTACACAAGTGCGTCATTCGAGCAGTTAGAAAAGGTTCATGAACTGTTCTTGCGACCCCCGAATAAGGTGGCCGCCGCAGGAACACAGCATATCAGCAGACTTCGGTACATGTACTGATTAGAACAGAAGTACGAATGCTGAGCAGCGAACCAGTCAACAAGAGTTTGTCATCAAATGATGTTAATGTACAGTACAGGGCGCCTTTCCAGCTGCCAGTTTGTTCTTCTTACCACCGATCCAGGATCTAGCGTCTCTTTGGCTATTTCACCCAGTTTAAACCAGATGCAAAGAAGAAGAATAATGCTTCCCGAACTGTTTCCTCCCTGACGCTCATTGGCTGACGCGGGCGAAGTTCTCTGACTCGTCACTAGGGCAGTCGCAGACCTGGTGGCGGGTCCGCAAACTTCGTCAAGCAAGCAAGCGTCAGGAAGGAAACTGTTCAGGAAGCATTACTGTTCTTCTTTGATTCCGGTTTAAACTGAGTGAAATACCCCCTTACTTCACAACTTCACCAATCTGGACCTTTGTTGCAGTGGAGGGGTTTTAAGTGAAATTTTGTGTCCTAGGGGCCGTACATTGGCTACGTCGACAGGTTCATCGATTTTTGCGCCGAGAAAGATTATAATCACATCGCAGAACTAGAAGCTCAAATTACGCGTTTTAACCCCAACAAACCATTTGCTCTCCAAGCCATCACTGGAAACTTCACGTACACAGGAAACCGCGGATTTGATGATACCTATTGGGCAAGTGTTA